TTCCATGACACCCAGCCATCCACCAGGCTCGTTTGTTGAGTATAATGAGAAACAGTCACACAAACAGGCACACATACACATAGATCATAAAATATATATACATTATGAATTGTCCATTATTTCACTGGGCAAATAATTTTATAGAAAGCCATAGTGAATGGTGATGTCCTTGGGGGAAAATATTCCACGTATAGAGAATAATGCACAGATTACCTCCATGTAACACTATGGGGTCCTTAATCTTATGCAGATTGGGACATTTCCCTGTCTGTTTGTGATTAGATGGAGTTATGTTAATTACTAGTGGCATCTAAAATAAACATGTATACATGTATCTATGTCCTGCTTTCTTTCTCAGACAAGGAAGATTAAAATCCTGTTACAATGCAGGGTTACTGGAATGGGTGACAATAAAAAGTAAGGAAGGAGATATATTTTGGAGAGGAAGAGGAGTGTACAATGAACTGGAAAGAAGTTTAGGTGGGGATCAACTCTAAGGCAGCAGATGAGTGTACAATGAACTGGAAAGAAGTTTAGGTGGTGATAAAAAAGGCCAGCGAAGGAAGTCAGGAGTAAATTGGAAGTAAGAGTCCTGGGAGAGAGGGGGCTTTACAGACGGTGGGGAGATCAAAAATCTCCCTCACCAACCAGGCCACCTTGATGCTGAAAAAATAGCTTGGTCTACACCTCTTACAGGTTCAAGGGCCAAGTTATCTGTATTAGAGCGTTGCCATGGGTTACCTTGTTAATACTCTGATACTTTCTCTGGCGGCGGCAGGGATCAAGATTGCATTACTATTGCCCCTATTGACCCCACTGCAGTTCCTATCCCTCCCACTAGAGCCTCTATCCCCACCATGATACAGTTCCTATCCCCCTTACACTGCAGCCCCATCCCTCATATACTACAGCTCATATCTTCCCCATAAACTACAGCCCCTATCCCCCATATAGAAGAGCTTGTATCTGTCAGGACGAATCAGTGGCCCAACACGCAGAATTAAGTAAAACATGTAACAACCTTAGTGCCTGCTAAGGAAGAATGAACCAGTCCCCATGTTTTCCTCACAGAGGTTAGATTCTCATCCAGAGTGGGGATATCTGTATCAGAGAACACAGAAGGTAATATAGTAGGATGGAGACCATATACAACATAAAAAGGACTAAGTTTGGAAGATTCGTGCTTAGCATTGTTCCGTGAAAATTCCACCCAGGGCAAGAGGTCAACCCAATTACCATGGGAAGCGTTAACTAAACAAAGTAGAAATACTTCCAGAGACTGATTTACCCTTTCAGCAGCACCATTAGTTTGGGGATGATAAGATGAAGAAAAAGACAGGTCAATTCCCAATTCTTTACAAAAAGATTTCCAGTATTGAGAAATGAACTGAGAACCTCTGTCAGATAATGTTTTGAGGAATCCCATGTAACCTTACAATTTCCTTAATAAAAATCTGAGCAAGGTCTTGCGAGGAAGGTAATTTTTTCAGCGGGACAAAATGGGCTATTTTAGAGAAACGATCTATGACCATGAGTATAATGTTATATCCCTTAGAGACAGGCAACTCCACAATGAAGTCCATGGTTAAATGAAACCAGGGAATGAGAGGCACAGGCAGAGGTTGTAACAACTAGTGATGTCGCGAACATGAAATTTTCGGTTCGCGAATGGCGAACGCGAATTTCGGCAAATGTTCGCGAACCGGGCGAACCGCCATAGACTTCAATAGGCAGGCGAATTTTAAAACACACAGGGACTCTTTCTGGCCACAATAGTGATGGAAAAGTTGTTTCAAGGGGACTAACACCTGGACTGTGGCATGCAAACTCCGATCCGCGGCTGCATCTTGCAGCCGCTTAGTAGATAACTCCCTAATTCCCACGGTATTAGAGAGCTATCTACTAAAAGGCTGAAAGAACTAAATTGGTCTTTCAGCCACATTTACTAATACTAAGTAAAGATTACTTAGTATTAGTAAATTCTGCCCCTACTCGCTATGCAGCGAGTAGGGGCATGTCTAGTAAGCAGTGAGCAGCCAGTGGCTGCTCACTGTAAAAAAAAAAAACCAAAAAAAAAAACCTATTGCCCCCACCCCTGTGCGACGGGTGGGGGCCATAAATTACAATGGGGGGGAGGACCTACTGTCTTCCCCCCGGCTCCCACCCCTGGCGGCGGGTGGGGGCCATAAAGATAATGAGGGCGGGGGGACCTACTGTCCTCCCCCCGGCCCCCACCCCTGAGCAGCGGGTGGGGGCCATAAAGATAATGGGGGGGGGACCTACTGTCCTCCCCCCCCGCCCCCACCCCTGCGCGGTTGGTGGGGGCCATAAAAATAATGAGGAGGGTGACCTACTGTCCTCCCCCCCGGCCCCCACCCCTGCGCGGTGGGTGGGGGCAAATAAATCATAATGGGGGGGGACCTAAGGTCCTCCCCCCTGGCCCCCACCCCTGAGCGGCAGGTGGGGGCCCTAAATACTAAAAAGGGGGGGGACCTAAAGTCCTCCCCCCCGGCCCCCACCCCCGAGCGGCGGGTGGGGGCCCTAAATACTAAAAAAGGGGGGGACCTAATGTCCTCCCCCCGGCCGCCACCCCTGAGCGGTGGGTGGGGGCAAATAAATCACAATGGGGGGGGAACCTAAGGTCCTCCCCCCTGGCCCCCACCTCTGAGCGGCGGGTGGGGGCCCTAAATACTAAAAAGGGGGGGACCTAATGTCCTCCCCCCCGCCCCCACCCCTGAGCGGCGGGTGGGGGCAAATAAATTTCAAACCAACCAATCAGAGTGCTGTGACAGGTAAATGAAGAGACTGACAGGTAAGTCTCTACATTTACCTTTCACAGCACTCTGATTGGTTGGTTTGAAATCCAGCAATCAGAGTGCTCTGTGTCATTTTACACAGCGTGGGAAAGTTCTTTGGAATTTTCCCACGCTGTGTAATTTGACTCATAACTCTCTGATTGGTTACTTTCAATTATGAGTCAAATTATACAGCGTGGGAAAATTCCAAAGAACTTTCCCACGCTGTGTAAAATGACACAGAGCACTCTGATTGGTGGATTTCAAACCAACCAATCAGAGTGCTGTGACAGGTAAATGTAGAGACTTACCTGTCATTCTCTTCATTTACCTGTCAGAGCACTCTGATTGGATGGCTTAAACCCACCAATCAGAGTGCTCTGAGCCTAATTGCAGGGCGGGGCAAGGCTTTACAAGCCTTGCCCCGCCCTGCAGAGCTCAGTCTGCGCGGAGCCCTCGCCGGGTGAAGATGGATTCTTTTTTTTGCGCTCGTTTTTTTTTTTTTTTTTTAATTGCGTCTGTTATTATGGTTTTTTATTTGGCCTTTTTTGGGGCTGAAAAAAGAAGATTTAGAAGAAAGAAAACATTGAATGGTAAGTTTTATTTTATTTTTTACAGGTACTTAGTAGTCCCCCCCTCATTATTTTTAGGGTGAGGGGGTAGGTAGGGGGTTAATTTTTTTTGGGGGGGGAGGGGGTGACTAGGGGTTTGGGGACCCCTAGTCACCTGGGGGAACGACATTTTTTTTAGGGCCCCCACCCGCCGCTCAGGGGTGGGGGCCGGGGGGGGACCTTAGGTCCCCCCCCCTTTTTAGTATTTAGGGCCCCCACCCGCCGCTCAGGGGTGGGGGCCAGGGGGGAGGACCTTAGGTCCCCCCCTTATTAATTTAGGGCCCCCACCCACCGCTCAGGGGTGGGGGCCAGGGGGGAGGACCTTAGGTCCCCCCCTTATTCCAATTTAGGGCCCCCACCCACCGCTCAGGGGTGGGGGCCGGGGGGGAGGACATTAGGTCCCCCCCCCTTTTTAGTATTTAGGGCCCCCACCCGCCGCTCAAGGGTGGGGGCCGAGACCTTAGGTCCCCTTTGGCCCCAGGGCCCCACCGCCCGGCTCAGGGGGTGGGGGCCGGGGGGGAGGACATTAGGTCCCCCCCCCTTTTTAGTATTTAGGGCCCCCACCGCCGCTCAGGGGTGGGGGCCGGGGGGGAGGACATTAGGTCCCCCCCCCCTTTTAGTATTTAGGGCCCCCACCCGCCGCTCAGGGGTGGGGGCCAGGGGGGAGGACCTTAGGTCCCCCCCTTATTCCAATTTAGGGCCCCCACCCACCGCTCAGGGGTGGGGGCCGGGGGGGAGGACATTAGGTCCCCCCCCTTTTTAGTATTTAGGGCCCCCACCCGCCGCTCAGGGGTGGGGGCCAGGGGGGAGGACCTTAGGTCCCCCCCTTTTTAGTATTTAGGGCCCCCACCCGCCGCTCAGGGGTGGTGGCCAGGGGGGAGGACCTTAGGTTCCCCCCCTTCTTAGTATTTAGGGCCCCCACCCACCACTCAGGGGTGGGGACCGGGGGGGGACAGAAGTTCCCCCCCTATTGGTTTTTTTAGGGCCCCCACCCACCGCTCAGGTCCCCCCCCCCATATCATTGAGTAAACTTTGACAACCCCCACCCCCGAGCGGCGGGTGGGGGGGTTGTCAAAGTTTACTCAATGATATGGAATAGGGGGCGGACCAAACATCGCATATGTTCGCCTGCCGTGGCGAACGCGAACATGCAATGTTCGCTGGGAACTATTCGCCGGCGAACTGTTCGGGACATCTCTAGTAACAACCCACATTTCAATTTGTGGGGAACTTTCAGGACAGCAAAAGTCTGGCAAGTATTGACATAAGTGATAACATCAACCTTAAGAGAGGGCCACCAGAACTTTCTGGTTACCGGTGAAATGGTTTTGCATGTGCCTGGATGCCCAGCTGTAATGTTATTATGAAACATAGCAAGAATCGTCCTTTCAGTTTCAGGAACGAACAGGAGACCTGAAGGTTTATTACTAGGTGTCTGAGGTTGAGCCGCGATTATGACACCAAGAAGAGGTGTAGACAAAGAAAGGACAGTGGAAGCTAAAATACATTCAGGAGGAATAATAGGAGTGTTATCTTGCTCCTGTTCCTCCTCTGTCTCATACTGTCTAGATAATGCATCAGCGTTTATGTTCCTAGTACCAGGCCTATAAGTGATGATGTAATTGAAATGAGAAAGACATAAAGACCATCTAGCCTGTCTGGATGACATTCTTTTAGCATCCCCTGTATATTCCAGGTTTTTATGATCAGTTATGATGGGGTCTTTGGATCCTTCCACTAGATGTCTCCACTCTTTAAGTGTCAATATGATAGCCAATAGCTCTCTGTTACCTATGTCATAATTTCTTTCCGCTGAGGATAGTTTTTAGAAAAGAAGCCACATGAGTGCAGGGGTTTGTCATGACTTTCTCTCTGGGACAGTATATCACCAACCCCTGTTTCAGAGGCATCTACTTCTAATATGAAATACAAATATGAAATCTGCTGGGATCAGGATGAGCAAGTATAGGAGCTAAAGCAAATGAAGCCTTGAGTTGTTCAAAGGCATTAATGGCTTCTCTTGACCATAATAAACCTTTAACCATCTTACGTGTCAAATTGGTGATTGGGGCTATTATCGTAGAAAAGTTTTTAATAAATCTACGATAATAATTGGAAAACCCGATGAACGTTTGGATAGCCTTTAAACCATGAGGTAGAGGCCATTGCGACACTGCCTCTAGTTTCTTGGGATCCATCTTGAATCCTGAGGCAGATATCGTATAGCCAAGAAATTGTAACTCTTTCTGATCAAATAGACATTTTTCTAGTTTACAATACAGCCCATTCTTGAGTAAGGTCTGTAAAACTAGGTTTACTTGTGCATGGTGAATGTCTTTCTCAGGTGAGTATATCAGTATATCATCTAGATATACTAACAAGAGTAATAAATAAAATCTCTCAATACATCATTGATTAGATCCTGGAAAACAGCGGGGGCATTACATAGCCCAAAAGGCATGGCTAGGTATTCGTAATGCCCATTACGGATATTAAATGCTGTTTTCCATTCATGTCCTTCCTTGATTCTGACTAGATTGTAAGCACTCCTTAAATCTATTTTAGTAAATATCTTAGCCCCTTTTAACCTGTCAAAAAGTTCTGAAATAAGTGGTATAGGGTAAGCATTCCTTATGGTGATTTTATTAAGCGCCCTGTAATCAATACAAGGCCGCAGCTCACCCTCTTTTTTTAGAAACAAAGAAAAACCCTGCTCCTGCTGGGGAAGAGGATCTGTGTATATGACTTTTAGTTAAAGCATCCTGTATATATTCCTCCATGATTTTACTTTCCAGAGGAGACAAGACAGGGTATAAACTCTCCCTTTCAGGGGTATAGTACCTGGTAATAGATTTATCGGACAATCATAAGATCTATGCGGTGGAAGTGTATCAGCATGTACTTTGTTAAACATCTCCATTACCTCCCCATATTGGGAGGAAATAGCAGTGGACAATGGAGAGGCAGTAGGAACATTTATTGTACCCAATTCTTTAGTTTTAGGTTCTAAACATCTGTTACAACATCCTTCACCCCACTTTAGTATCTCCCCTTTCCTCCAATCTATACATGTATCATGTTTGATTAGCCATGGAAAACCAAGTACAATGGGACAAGAGGGTGAGGAGATTTGCTCATTATTCAAGGCCCCTACTTGCAATGAAACAGGTTAGGTCTCATGGGAAATGAGCGGATTCTTAAGAGGTCTACCATCTATGGCCTCGACGGGCAAAGGTGTTCACAAAGTTAGCATCAATAAAGCTTTCTGCTACTCCTGAGTCTAATAGGGCTTTGCTATTGACCTTAAGGTTGTGTAACAGAAAACAGAAGTATTGAAACAGGCATAGTAGGGGACATATACATAAAACCTAAGTCCGGTCCCCGAATGGTACTTAGGTGCAAGAGTTTTACAGACAAATTGGGCAATTTACCCTCATATGTCCTTTCTTGCCACAATACATACACAGACCCTCACTCCTCCTGAATTGTCTCTCTGCTTCAGATAACCTCATAACTCCCAACTGCAAGGGTTCAGGTTCAGCAGCTACAATTGGAACAACAGGGTTGGAGAAGTGGGGAGCAAGAAAAGTGCTGTTTTTTCATGGTTTGTTTCTGATCCTTTCCCTTTCTCTTAGCCTGTTATCTATCTGTATCATATAAGTTATATACTCGTTACGTTTTTCTGGCAAGTCTCTGGCAGCAACCTTATCTAGAATGATATCAGACAGGCCTACAGCGAAAGCAGTGATGAGGCCACTGTTCGTCCAATCCATCTCTGAGGCAAGCGTACGGAACTCAATTGCATAATCAGCAACAGAGCGATTGCATTATTTTATTCGCATGAAGGCTTTTCCTGCATCTTTTTCTTTACCAAATGGCTCTAAAGTTAGCTTGAACTCAGCAAGGAATTCCGCGTAATCATATGCGATAGACTTGTTGCTCTCCCATAAAGGATTTGCCCAGTTTAATGCCTTCCCTCTCAATTGATTCATCAGATAACCAATCTTGGATCTATCGGAAGGAAAGGAGCCAGGGGAGGCCTCAAAGTGGTACTTGATTTGGTTAAGAAAACCACGGCATTCCTGAGCATTACCACTGAAATGAGGGGGTGGTGAGAGGGATATAGATGGAGCCCTGTACACTATGGGTATAAAAGCAACAGGAGGGGCTGGAGGAGGTTGATAACAATGTCTGAAAGGCCTGGGCGAATTGATCCATACGGTGATCATTATCTTCCAGCCTTCTTTCGCATGCCAACATGTGTTGACTTAACTCTGCAGGGTCCATGTCCCTGTCGTAATGTCAGGACGTATCAGTGGTCCAACACGCAGAATTAAGTAAAACACGTAACAAATACAAACAGTAACAACGTATTACCGGAATTAACATAAGAGAATAAACAGTCACTAGCCGAGGTCAGGAATACAGAAAGGAACAAATACGAAAAGAACAAAGCCAAAGGGTCAGGGATACCAAGATCAAAAACCAATAATCGGAATCAGGAACGCGCTCTTGGATAACCAACAAGATGGAAACATTGACAGGGCACTGAACAACTGCAGGTTTGGATTTAAATAACCCAGTAAATCCTGCTATTGGCTTATTTGGGTCCCATGACCCCAGAACGTGTGTGCATGGCGAAAACGTAGTGCTGCACGCACTTTCACGTCACAAGTGATGTCAGTGTGGGCGGCATTATTAATTAGCACCGTCTTGCAGCCGGCATCTCTCCCAACGCTGGAATCGGCCGCCAAACCACAAGCTGCCTGAAAGGGAGAGGTTCTGGGGGCGAGGTGATTAACCTCTCCCTCCTTTAGTGCTACCGCGCCAATCAGGTGATAGTGTCACCGTACCGATGAGGTGCGGTCACACTGAGGTGCCGATTAGGCACCGTGACAGTTTCGCCCTCCTGGGGCGTACCTAGAGTATTTGGCACCCAGGGCAGGTCCTATTTTTGGCACCGCCCCTCAACTTTAAATGTAAAAAACAACCAAATTTTTTTTTTAATTTTTAAATGTATTTAGCACTAAGCAATGTTTGTGTGTTTGAATGTATCCATGTTTTTGTATGGAGTATGTGTGAGTGAATGTAGGGGTGTGTTTGTATGTAGTGTTGCCGTTTAAATGCAAGCATGCATTTGTGTGTTGTGTGGTAATTGAATGCAGTGGTATGGTTATATATAATGGTGGGATTTGTATGTAGTGTTGACATTGAAATGCATGAGTGTATTTGTGTGTAGTTTTGGCGAGATTTTAAGATGTATGCACATATACACATACACACATACACACTTGCAGATACATATACACACATGCAGATATGCAGAAACACAGTCACACACAGATACACATTGACACACATGCATACATCGTGGAGACTCTAGGAACAATATATAGGGGTGCGGGCACATAAAATACCACAGTCAAAACAGGGGTGGGGGTGAGCACTAGGGGATGGGGTAATATGCTGCCATTGGCTGTCTGATGCCAGCATGCTGTGCTCTGCATGCTGGCATCTGACAACACATTTGCATAGAATTCACATTAGCCACCCAGATTTCTTGTTGTGGGCTGGCTGATACCTCTTAACTTTGATCTTTGTTTAGCAGATAACTCCCCTATTTGCTATCCTTATGTGGGATTGCCATGTTTAAGGACACCAAATAAGAGAGGTATCTGCTAAACAGCACCCTCATTTGGTATCTTTAAATATGGAAATCTCACATAAGAGCACCAATTTAGGGAATTATCTACTAAACAGCTAAAGGATAAAAGTAAAAAATAATTTTCTTAATTTCAGTTGTTTAGTAGATAAATCCCTTATTTAGTATCCTGATGTGGGATTGCAATATTTAAGGACACCAAATAAGGGAGCTATCTACTAAACACATACACAGAGATATGCACAATCACACACATAATCACAGATATACACAAACACAATCACAGACCCACACACATACAATCACAGACACACAATCACATACATACACACACAAACATTACATACATACACACATTTAAGCGGTCCACTCGGCCTCCCTACCTTGCTCTAGAAGGGCTGGAGTGGATCCTCAGTCCCTGGTGGTCAGTGGTTGCTGCTGGGATCTCTGTGCTCTTCCTGCACAGGTCCACCACACGCCCTGTAATGATGCCGAGGCCACAATTACATCAAATGATGGCTGCTGGCTCATTGCAGGAACAAGACCGTCAGACACAGTCAGATGCACACAGTCCCACACACATAGTTAATCACACACAGTCATGCAGTCACAGGCAGACAGTCACACAGGAGCTCCCTTGATAAAGGCATTTTGCCGAAACGTTAGGGGCTTATTGGTTGACTCTTGTCCTTCTTCTCACTAAGTCTGGTACATTTTTCTTGTCCTTGTGTATTTAATTATTTTTGGGTTTGCTTAATTTGGTATCTCATATATCTTTTTTGTATACTTGCATTCAGTGATTTAGGCATTATGTAGTTTGCTTACATGTAACTTCAGAACTTGTAGGTATTGCATTGTACTCTCTATTTGACATTTTGTGTCTTTTTCATTCATTGATTCAGTTTCTGAATAAGCCTTTTACTGTGACCCATTTAATAAACATTTTTTCATTTACATTTGTGGTTGTGCCCCTTGTTTAAGTAATAGATGTATGTGTCTGTGTGCCTGTGTGTATGTGTCTGTCTGTATGTATATATGTGTGCCTGTGTCTTTGTATGTATGTGTCTTGTGTGTGTGTGTCTGTATGTATGTGTCTGTGTGCCTGTGAGTATGTGTCTGTCTGTGTCTGTATGTATGTGTGTCTGTCTGTATTATGTATGTGTCTGTGTTTCTGTCTGTGTGTTTGTATGTATATATTTTTGTCTGTATGTATGTATGTGTCTTTGTATGTATGTGTGTGTCTTGTGTGTGTGTCTGTCTGTATGTATGTATGTATGTGTGCCCGTCTGTTGTATGTATGTATGTGTGTCTTGTCTGTGTCTGTATGTATCTGTCTGTCTGTATGTGTCTATGTGTGTGTGTCACTGTGTATGTGTGTATGTATGTGTCTCTGTATGTGGGTGTGTGAGCTGTGTTGGCTGCCTGGCGCCCCTGCTGCTATGGCGCCCTGTGCAGCCACACAGCTCACAGAACCCCAAGCCTGGCCAGTAATGGGGGCACCCCCTTACCTGATGGCACCCGGGAGGGGGGATATAGAATGCCACTGTCACCCACATTTGCTACAGCCCCTATCCCCCCCATACAATGCAATCCCGATGCATCCAAACACCGCAGCTTCTGTCCCCCCATATATTGCAGCTCATAGCTCCCCCATCCACTACCACCTCTATCCCCCTCCATCCACAGACACACAACCCCACAAGCAGATTCCCCCCACATGAAACTCCTCAAGCAGCCTCCCCTCACATGCAACCTCACAAGCAGAATCACCACACACAGCTAGCCAATAGTGTATTTGTGACGAAGTGCCCTTCGCCACTTGTGCCTGGAGGGGACTACTGGCTAGCCTCCTGCCTTCCGACTATGGCCCATGTGCTGATAGCGGTATTTTCCCCTGCAGAAAGGTTTATTTGTGTATTTCTGCTGGGGCGTTCTGGACTTTCAGTATGGTAGTAGTGCTATCCCAGATAGCTGTGCCATGGAGCCTATTTGTGTAACAAAAGACTATGGAAAAGACTTTGGCTCCATGGTGATTGAATTGTATGTATGTGATCTGAGCGCCATTCAATAATAAAGTGCACTCAGATCTAAGCTATCTGGGGATATGTTGCATGTATATGTTTTATGCAGTAATTGTAACATTGTGTAATTTTATGTCTTTTTGTAACCATGTGGTTAATGGAGTCTTGCCTCTGTCCTGGGAGAAAATTTGATTACTTCCCAATTATCTCCAGGATAGAGAGGAGGGATTGTGATGTCACTGTGGGAGTGTTTTGTTTGTATTGTCTGTGATTGGTTATACTGGGTCCCACCCTGTGGGATGTCCCCTTGCATGGGGACTTGCATAAAAGCCAGTGTGTGGTCATTAAAACCAGATCATCTTGTACCTTTCTTGAAGCCTTGGCTCATGTTTGGGGGAAGGGATACCTACACTCTGGGGATTGCTATAATCACTTACTCCCCAGAGTAAGCTCTTGCAATAGCTTGATTTGTTCCTGCTACGCTCTCTGGATTTAGGAGAGGTTCACCCACTGGAAGCTGGATCCTGGTCGTGGATCCAGGGTGGGTGGAAACGGCGAGACCCCGGCGCAGCTGTATCGCTGGAAGTGGGGTCTGCAGTGCTGATAGTGTCGGTTAGAGTGCTTGGAGTCCTCGGCAAGCGCTAGGAGCATCGATTGGCGGAGGTACTCAGTCGGAGTGCCAGCGTTCCGTCACAGTATTTTAGTTATACGCTGCCCTAGGCATGACTAAACCTGGGCATTCCCCTAATCTAAATTTGCCCCACCCCTTCCTCTTTAGACTACACCTTTTCCAATTACTTTTAAAGGGAAACTATAGTGCCAGGGAAGCAAAGCTGTTTTCCTGGTACTATAGTTCCCTATAGTGCTCCCCTCTGCAATGAATGGGTTAAAACCTCTTCGGTCACTTACCTGAATCCAGCGCCGATGTCCCTCGGTGCTGGGTCATGCTCCTCCTCTGCGCTTGCATTAGGCTTCCCCATAGGAAAGCACTGTATCAATTATTTCCTATGGGGATTTAGCAGACGCCTGATTTCCTAATGCACAGCGTGAGGACGTCCAGCATCAGTTAAGCGACTTTTGGTCGCCTAGAAACCCTGAAGTCCCTCTAGTGGCTATCTGGTAGCCACTAGAGGTGGATTTAACCCCTCAAGGTAATTATTACAGTTTCTGTGAAACTGCAATAATTACACTTGCAGGGTTAAAGAGATTGGGACACTGCACCCAGACCACTTCCGTAAGTTGAAGTGGTCTGGGCTCCTATAGTGTCCCTTTAAGCACACATCAGACACACACACAGACACACACAGACATACACACACATATTCAGACATACACACATACACTAACACACTCCCAGACATACACACACACACACACACTCACTCACAGACATACATACACTCACACACTCACACACTCACATAAACTCACAACTTATTAATGTAATTAAAAAAATTCCACCCAGCCTCCCTACCTGGAGAGCTGGCATGGATCCGTCCCTGGGGTCCAGTGGGGTTCCTGTGAGGTGGAGGGCCTACCATCCGAGGCGGCAAGGGAGCTGTAATCTCTGCTCCGCTCCCTCACGCCGCGCGGGCTGTCTACTGATGCCGGGAGCCGAAATGACGTTATATTCCGTCTCCTATTGCATCAGTAAAAGGCGCGCGAGGGAGCAGAGCAGAGAGATCACAGCTCCCTTACCGCCTCGGATGGTAAGCCGCCCGCCGGAGGGAGGGGGGTCTCTATTAGCTGGTCAGCAGGTCAGCTCTTGCCCCCCCCATGACAGGGGAGTCACAAGGGACGCCTCAGTGGGCATTTGCCGCCCCCTAAATAGTGCCGCCCAAGGCAAATGCCTAGTTTCCCTTGGGCTAAATACATCCCTGCAGCTACCACCCACACACAAAACTCACAAATAGCCTCAAAACACACAGATAAACCCAACACCGTAAGCAGCCTCCCCACAAACACGCAACCTCAAAAACTTCAAATGCATACAAAATTAAAAGTCGCCTTCCTATACACACAGCACCCTCGCCCAGCGCTGTTCTTACTTTGTCCTCTGATATTCCACTTACGGAGACACCAGAGAAAAGTCACAAGCAAACACAGAGCATGTTTGCTTGCACTGTGGTAAACACACACAGCATTTTCCTTATGCCCAAGCTCTTCAGCATGACTCTGAGCATGAGCTGCCCTGGAGGGCATCACATTGACATGCCCGCTTTAGGAAGTGTGTGTGTCATTGGTAATGACACAACACCTCCCACCCCCTCTGACCCATCTCCCACATTGTGCTGCTCTGACTTTAAATGCCCAACACATTTTGTCCTAGTACTGAATCAAACCATAACCTAATTAATACCACATCTACTTTCTGTTTAATTAAACCTATCATAACAGTATATATATATTTAATGTATTTTGTATAAAGATTTTTTTTATTTTTACAAAAAGGAATTTTTATTTCTATTAAAATAATAATAATAATAATAAAAACGAAATGACTAATATAGTTTTATTCCTCCTATAATGATACTAATATAATCATAAAGAAATGAATAATACAGTTTTATTCTAAATAATAAATGGCTTTAATGAATAAGAAGCCAACCTGATCCTCTGTATAAATCCTGCAGCCCCATTCCCACCCCCTCTCCCTGCCAGTGTTAGAGAGGGGGAGGTCCGTGACGTCACTCGGCGCTGCATAGGCTGCAGTGTGAGCACAGAGTAGACTGGAGGCTGACAATGACCTCAGACCGGCCAGGCCAGCTGTCACGGTGCTCCAGCTCCCCAGCGCAGCGCTAGCCCCATAGTCTTCCCTTATATCCCAGGCTTGTTGTCAGCTCGCCCAGGCCGCCGCTGTCACTAAGGAGAGGAAGCCCCCCTCCTGGCTCTCCCTGTCAGCCATGGGGGATCATGCGCAGCCCGAGTCGGCCTCTGGCTCTCGGCTACAGAACGGATTCCATCCGCCGGCAGCGAGCTCGGTGCTGAGCAATGGGGAGAGCAGCCGGAGAGAATCCGACCCCCTCCATCAAGGATCCCCGGCCAAGAAAAGCAGGATCAGGAGGAGGCTGGACTCGGCCAGGAGGAGCAGACCTCGTAAGTGGCCATCCAGGTGGTCCTGCCACAGGTAGACCCAGGGCAAGTCTGGTTTGGGTACCAATAGCCCCTTTATTGCTGTAAGTGTGGGCTCTGTGAAGGACCCATTGTCTGTAGGCTAAAGGGTCAGTCTCTGTCCATTCATTTGTGTAGAGTGCCTAGGTTGCCATTCACTGGCTTACTAAAGCCCAAATTAAAGCAGTGACGTAATAACTTGACCAGTATGAATGATTTTTTTTTTTTTTTTTAAACCCAAAGCAAGACCTATGCCATGGCATTTGGGCCATTGCATTGGTTATACTGGCTTCTTAAATCATGAAAGGGGGAGGGGGGGAGCTAGCAGGAGTTTGCATTTGGCCAATATTCATTTGATTGCCAATATTTTATTTAAATTGCTATAAGTAGTGAAAGAAAGGGCTGAATTCTATTTTTGCAACCCAGAGCTGTACATGGCGCATGCAATGGGACCGCAAGAAGATCCCCAGAAGTACTGCATAGAATAGTGGGTCAATGAGAGATCCAGTGCATGCTGCTTCCCAGGGAAGAAGGTGCAGCTACGCAGTGCATGCAGCAAGAAGAGACAACTATGCAGCGCTTGCAACAAGAAGTGACATGCCGCAAAGGAAGTGGGCTGCTACCCTACGCTTGCCTCAAAAAAGGTGGTCTGCTACCCAGCGCATGCAGCAAGAGGAGCAGTGCGTGCAGCAAAAAAGGGGACATGCTGCAAAAGGGCCAGAAGGGGACTGATATCAAGCGTAAACCACAAAGGAAGGGCAAGATACCCAGCAGGTGCCGTAAAAGAAGAGGAGGTCGATAGCTTGCATCTGCTTTAATGTTATTTGCGAATGGGCATTTACACAAAATATAGTGCCATGCCATGGGTACAAGGCAGAAATGCGTAATTAATTATTACTTCAATACTGCGTGCTGCAGAGAAACATAGTCTAAAGTACAGATGCTATTATTACTGAAAGTGGAATAATGCATCATGTTTTACATGTCCACTGCTGCCTTATTTGGCTGCTTAAGAAAAAAACTCTTGGAAATACAAATGCAGCGACAGAGGAAGCGGAGATACCCAGTGCATGCAGCGACGGAGAAAGCGCAGATACCCAGTGCATGCAGCGACGGAGAAAGCGCAGATACCCAGTGCCTGCAGCGACGGAGGAAGCGCAGATACCCAGTGCCTGCAGCGACGGAAGAAGCGCAGATACCCAGTGCCTGCAGCGACGGAGGAAGCGCAGATAGCCAGTGCCTGCAGCGACGGAGGAGGCGCAGCATGCAGCGACGGAGGAGGCGCAGTAGCCAGTGCATGCAGCGACGGAGGAGGCGCAGGTAGCCAGTGCATGCAGCGACGGAGGAGGCGCAGGTAGCCAGTGCATGCAGCGACGGAGGAGGCGCAGGTAGCCAGTGCATGCAGCGACGGAGGAGGCGCAGGTAGCCAGTGCATGCAGCGACGGAGGAGGCGCAGATAGCCAGTGCATGCAGCGACGGAGGAGGCGCAGGTAGCCAGTGCATGCAGCGACGGAGGAGGCGCAGGTAGCCAGTGCATGCAGCGACGGAGGAGGCGCAGGTAGCCAGTGCATGCAGCGACGGAGGAGGCGCAGGTAGCCAGTGCATGCAGCGACGGAGGAAGCGCAGATGCCCAGTGCATGCAGCGACGGAGGAGGCAAATACCCAGCTATTTTAGTTTATTAAATAAATTACGTGGGATTTTATCCTTTTACAAAATTGCTTCCTTATGATCGTAAGTAACATAAGTGACTACTCAGTAACCAAAAAATATATATCTATATTTTGGGACAGTCATTAAACAGGGGGTTATTTTCAGGTTGTCTTGTAACCATACTATACCTTTTTTAGATCTATTTATTTATGGTGGAAGAGGGGGGGGGGGATCACTCACGTGCAGACTCTGTTTATGTATACAGTGTTACCACTCCTTATGTAAACCACCGCGCCCTCAATAATGGGCATATGCCATTGGTACCTTTTACAACCCGCATCAACATTTCCAAATGTCACATTTCCGTCTTATGATCTAATCGCTCACGCTGTGCACTGGCAGGCTACCAGGGAACTAGTGACACATAAGAGGGGAAGAACAAACAAAAATAAAACCATGCATGAGCCGCCATAGGAGAACATATGAGCTGTGAGGTTGTATGTATTATTATTGTTTCCCCTCCCTCCTTTGACAGCTTCCCAGCCTTTCTTCCCCCTGACACCATTATACAAGCGAGGGGTGGATTGGTGAGCCTGGAGTCAGTAGACCGCTTGCAATGAATGTGGAATTTAAATGCCACCCCCAGCCAGCCAATCAGAGCAGCGGAGAGCCAGACACACCTACTGATACCACGAGAGGATGGGCAGGGTGGCAGCCAATGGCAGCTCTGTAAAGCCAAGCTTTGTGATTGCATGGTATATTCCGTGTGCAGAAAGCACTGATCATTGAGCGTTTTGCAATTTCTATGCAGACAAATTGTGACCTTGTTCCTAGTGATGTGACAGGAAAGTCTTGAAATGTAAGAGGTGCAGCTCAGATCTCTTGGATACACAGTGTCTGTGTGTGGTTAAATACTCACTCCCATTATTCAATCTTCATTTATTTGTTTATTTTAATTATTTATTTTTTTTGGACTCCCCAAAATGAGGTTTATTGACGGCAAAAAACATTGTGAGTACTACAGTTTTTACAGACAGTCGCTTACTGAGAATATACTGTGCTTTAATACTCATTGAAGTCAGCTTACATTCGGATACCTGTTATTGGAATGTTAATGTTTTGGAATGTAAATGTAGCAGTTCATGTGTTCTAGTATTCTATCTAGGGCACTCAGAGTTGTGTGATCTCAGGGTGTTTTTTGCTCTTTTTAAATCTGTGAAATGTTAATTTTCAAATATTGCTGCACCTAGTGGTGAATGTAATAAACATTGTTATAGAAATATAGCCTAAGAGATCTTGACTAACACATTTGAAAGTGTTAGTGTTGGCTACAGGCATTTAACAAGACTAAATCTCTTTTAATGCACATCAAAAAGCTTGTTTAGAAAAGTCACTTTTTAGTTTTAATCCCTTTTTGTGCACGTCCTATCCAACTAGTTTATCAGCCCTGACAAGAACAATGTTTATGCAATGCAGTGATCATCTACAGGTAAAGAGGTGTACGATAGAATATACAGGTTGCTGTTTTTAACCTTTTAAAATGCATTTGTCTTATTTTCTATTAGGAAATCTTGACCGCAAGTAGGAGACTTTTTTAATCATACACTATATCTAATCATGGTTTGGTGACAGTTAAACATTAGAAATGGGTGCTTGAAACTTCTCGAGTTAAGCTGTCTTGCAACTTTGTAAATTCACTTAAGAAAATGCACACTAATTACAGGGTGTATCACTAAACTGACTTTTCGAGAATTTAAAAAGGAAGCTGATATTTTGGCTTCAGCCTTGCTGTCTGGCTTAAATTTGCAAAGGTTCTGAATTCTGTAACAATTTTATGTCGGTATCCTCGGTTAAATAGACAGTCAATACAGAGGCACACATCTATGGAAATGCTTTGCAAAAACATCAGACAGTAATTTACTAAAGTGGGAATTCTTGGGAATTAAATCTAACACCAAAATTGCTAGTTTGGAAAGAAATCTATGTCAGTTATGTTTCCAGTTCAACGATTTTGTTGTGAATTTTGAAATTAATTTAGAACCTATTTTGACTTTCTGGCAATTCTCACTCTCATAAATAACTTCTCATTTTGAAGTCACTAGGCTACTGCTTGCTGCACAGGTGTGTATGTTAAAGAATTATGCTGAAATAAATAAGTCTATTATGGAAAATAAGATTATTTCTAATAATTTTGCTGGTCCACTTTGGTACTGCAAATATTTGTGAATTTTGCTTCCAATTATGTCACGTGGCTAACTAAGCATCATAGCGTATGTAGTGCAAAAGTGTTATGGCTAGTTTGGCTATTTTGACCGGTAATGTGCAATTATGTTGCACATCTTTTTGAGATGCATTTATTGATATTGGGCCTAAATGTGCAAAATGTGATATTAAGATCTCTCATTTCGAATCTGGACTGTCCGTAAGGATGGGGATGAGTCTGATGAGCAAATGGTATAGCTTATTTCTGTAATGGCACGAGTGAGTAAAAATACATTTGAGATCTGAGCAAAGACTAACTAAATAGCAAGTAATTTAGTTTTTCTGAATTTTTTTATTTTTTTTTTATTTCCCCTATTCTCAGAGTTGTAAAGGGGATATTCAGTCCTGAAGCATGTGCCTGGACCCCAGGTGTCTGTGAGAATCATCAGTGCTGTTTGAATACAGTATTTTATTTCAACAGAGGCCACAATGTGAAACCTGAAACTACCAGGGATCTCTTTAAAGGAATGCCATAGTTTTCGGAATACATGAAAACATGTATTCCTAATACTATAATGCTGGAATACATAGTTATGTTTCCGGCCCACCTCTCTGTGACGATAAAAGGTATTAAACTTACCTTTTTATCCTTCGCTGTTGCTGGCCCCACCTCCATGGCTGAGATCATCAATCTCCCTTGGGAACACATTGAGAGGCTACTGTGTATGTGTGGCAAAACTCTCTGCGCCGCCAATCGGCATCTCCTCATTGAATCGGTACATTTCTATAAGGTGCGTTCACGCTGAACGTAGTTGCTGCACACTGTGCAACACTGGACTAGGAAGCACCTCTAGTGGCCATCTGAGTGACAGCCACTAAATGTCACTCAGCCAGCAATGTAAAGCCTGTCTTTTCACTGAAAAGGCAGAGTGTACCGTTCTATAATTGCAGGGACATGCAATAGACACCAGAACCATCACATTAAGCTGTAGTGGTTTTGGGGACTATAGTGTCCCTTTAAGAAGGAATACTATAGCGTTAGAAAGACAAATATTCCTAATGCTATAGTGCCCCCTGGTCAGGGATACATATTCCTAATGTTATAGTTACCCTTGGTCACTGTTTAGGTGACCTTGCCACGGCTGCAAGAGTTAGAAAAAGAAAAAAAAAAGACAACAAAAACAGTTGATTTACTTGCCTATAAACTCTTACAGTGCCTGTATCCTCCTTGCAGCTCTACCTCTTTGGCAGAGATCATCAATGTTGATGATCTCATCCAGTGCATTCCAACTGGAAAGCCTTGGGAGGCTAGTGCGCAAGCGCATTATGCCAATCACATGGTCTCCTGAGATCATCTGACTAAAATAGCAGAGTTTACGCTATGTTACATAAGTGCTAGAGGCAGGTTAACTCAGCAATCTTTTCAACTGCTAGGTTTAAAGGGGAATGGGACACATGGCACCTAGAGCACTATAGCCTATATTGTTACTTTTAAGACAGGTGTCGGGGGTGCCCAAAAGGTAGATCCCAGATGTTGTAGAACTTCAACTCCAGTGATGCCTTGCATGCTTTTAGAATGACAAAGCATCATGGAGCTGTAGTTTTTAAAACATCTGAGGATCTAACTTTTGGGCACCCCTGCTTGATCATCTCCATTAATTAGTTTTTGATTTTAGTTTTTGATTTTACTATTTGTTGGCTGCAAAAATGCAGCAAATTGCCATTAAAAGAACTTTAAAGGGACACTGTGGATACTTGGTTGTGGTGCCAAGACACGACCACTAATTTATTACACTGACACAGGAGGGTTTTAAAACTGTTTGTATCTCTGCTTCAATGCCTTGTCAATCAGAGAGCTTGGAATAACACCTTCTAGCTCTTGGCACCCATAGCGTGCTAACATGGAGACAGAGATCACTTGCCCCGTCTCTGTGATTAGCATTGGGCACGCACAACTGTGCACAACACCTGTCATCGTAGTAGAATTGAAGTTGGCATTTTATAACTGGTGCCAAAATGCATCCCAGGCTATAAATGAGACTGCTGTGGAAGCTGTTTGCTCCACAGGACTAATGGAAGTGACAGGCACGCTGGGCTAGAGTGCATCTGTGTTTCCACTTTTAAATTGGCTGCACTACAGTACATTGAGAAGCATTAAACCACTGCGGATTTTGATGCAAAATAAGGGTTTCTTTAAGAGCAGCCTCTGTTTTGGTTAATTCCTGGCACAAACTGAAAGTAATTTTCTGCAGCTTTTAAAAGTGTTTTTTTCCCCCCCATAAATCCCTAAAGAAAACTTGCAGAAAAAATGCATGTTTTCTTTTGGGGTATATCTCCTTAATAGTGTGGATAAAATAATGTATTATATGGATTGAACGTTTTCAGATTTTATTTTTTTTCCAGCCCTGTACACTGTATCGTTATATAATTTTATATTACACCAATACACTTTCTCTGTTTCTACGCAAGACATACCAGTAAAAACCACGAAGGCCAAACCAATAACAATTGGAAAAACCTTTTGATCTACACAAATGCCAACACTCTCTTAACAATGTAAAGATAACATTTTATTAGCTATAAAGTTATACGTCATGTGCCCTTTAAACAATGGAATGTTTAGAATTGCCATCCCATATTATGTCCATATTCATAGCTTGAAACCTCCCCCCCAAATCTCTACATATCGTCCTATAAAAGTTAGGTATCATTAGGATCTGGTGATAAGGGTTCATGATAATATTCTTGAATTTGTTCAGCATTGTGAATGGGATATAGTCACCCTGAATCTGAGGAATATCCTGAACAGATTTTTGAATAGTTAAATACTTAAGCCATTTGCAAGAGGTATTGTGAGTTGAAAGATATCCTTTGGTTTTCTCCAAACCTAAACCTGCTCAGATGTAGTAAATAGATTTGAAAGTGGGTAATCAAAACCTGTATTTTTATTTCGGGCTTCTATAGTAACTGCTGTTTTGATACCTTTTTATCACAAACTACAAATTGTGTGTGTGTGTGTGTATATATTATATACACACACTTTTGTTTACCCTAAAAGTATTGCCAGTGACATCTTAGACATTTTTACAGTTCGGTAATTTGATATATTCTTTGGCACCTTATCCAGGGTAAAGGTCTTCATGCATTATGAACACCTATATTAGCTGCTCCTGAGATATAAAACAGAATATTCTTTTTAGGAACCAGAGGAAAAAAAACAAACAAACCTTTGGTAAATAAAAAACAATAAATCCAATAACCTTTCTGAGCAGTATTTAATAATTATTATACGACAGCTTGTTTAATGCACTGTCATCAAGAAAAGTGTGTATAGCCTAATTAAGCATTACAAATACTGTGTGTTGTTTTCTCTTTAACATAGTTGCACATGTGTGTTTCTTTTGCTTAGAACAAGTTAAAGGGACACTGTAGGCACCCAGACCACTTCAGCTCATTGAAGTGGTCTGGGTGCAAACTACCATCACCCTTAACCCTGCAGTGGTAATTCTTGCAGTTTTTATAAACTGCAATAATTGCCTCTGAGGGTTAATTCCTCCTCCTAGTAGCTCTAGACAGCCACTAGAGGGACTTCCGGAATTGAAACAGACTTTCGGTCAGTTATCTGACGCTGGACGTCCTCACGCTCTGCATGAGGACCTACAGCATCAGATTTTCCCCATAGGAAAGCATTGAATAACAGGTCGTGAAGGACATAGTCAAGTTCAATGGGCTCCCAAGGATTGCTTAATAGTACATTGTTCTGATGTAACTGGTGGGTGAGTTACGTCATGTAGAAGGCAAACACAGCTTTTGAACAGAAACTTGATTTTGCGTGCGTTGATTTGGGGTTATCTCGTTGAATTGCAGTGTACAGCCACGGTAGCAAGCTGGCATTGCTGAGGTAGGCGTGAACTCTTCCATGCATAGAAAGCAGATGAGGCATGCAGCTACTAAATGGCTCCAGATATATTTATAACTCTCTCACACTACTTGCCTGTGTGTTTTTTTTTTTTGTTTTTTTTTTATATATTTGATTTGCCAAGTTAGTAGCGCATTGAAAAGAGACGTGGGATTGTCTGGCACTTGTGTTCTTGTTTTCTCTTTTGCAGCTCTAGAATGACAGCTGAACACTAATAAGAAACTCATTCTTTCTGTTCCAAATGGATAATTTAGCACTACACAAGGTTTTGTATGTAGATGTTGCCAAAATCCTTCCGGTGCCAATTTCAATAGGCGGAGATGAGCAAATCTCACTTCATCTATTTAAATGGGGACTTTTAAAATTATATTTTATAGGCAGCTTGTTAGGGTTTTTGAGTTGCGGGCTAAGAGTGATTATGTTCAACAACTAATAGGAGGGGTCCTAGATCACCTACTGTTCTAGGCTACACAATCTTGTTTCAAAGTGATACTCCAGGCTGAAGTTGATCCATATTTTTTTTTTTTATTGCATTATAAAAATGAAAGGTACACTATAGGGTCAGGAACGCAAACGTGTATTCCTGATCCTATGGTGTTAAAAACACCATCTAGCCACCCTAGCTACCTGCTGCCCCCTTAATATAGTTAAAGCTTACATTTATTCCAGTATGCTGCTGCTAGCTCTGCTCCTGATCTGCTTGCTTGGCTGACCTCATCAGAAGTGGTGGTCTGAGCCAATCGCAATCCTTTCTCATAGGAAAGCATTGGATTGTCTGAGACTGTCAAGTAGGCAGATCAGTGGCAGAGCCAGCACAAGCCAAACACAGCCCTGGCCAATCAGCATCTCCTCGTAGGAATGCATTAAACAAAAGTTCAGTGTCTCCATGCAGAGGGTGGAGACCCTGAATGTGTAGCAGGAAGCACCTCTAGCAGCCATCTGAGGAGTGACCAGTGGAGGTATCCCTAGGCTGTAATGTAAACACTGCATTTTCTCTGAATAGACTGTGTTTACTGCAAAAAACCTGAAGGGAATGATTGTACTCAGCAGAACAAATACAATAAGTTGTAGTTGTTCTAGTGACTATAGTGTCCCTTGTATTGCATTAAAAAAAACAAATGTACAGAACATCTCTTCACTATTTGATGATCTTTGTAGTGAGCTCTAACCAAATTAAGGAGCTGACAGCTTCCCCCAATGCATTTATTCCATGTAATGAGATATGTGTGTGTATGTATATATATATGTGTGTATATATATATGTGTATATATATATATATATATATATATATATATATATTATTTACAAGCGTTTAGCAGTTATGAACCACTGTGTGCAGGAATAATTTGACAGGATGATTTGAATTGTTTTTGGTGTCAAACAAAACCACATGCAAATTTATTTTCTTTTCTTCCCAGCTTTCCCGTGGTTTGGTATGGATATTGGAGGAACGCTGGTAAAACTGGTTTACTTTGAACCCAAAGACATTACGGCAGAAGAGGAGCAGGAAGAAGTTGAAAACCTTAAAAGTATACGAAAATACTTGACATCAAACACTGCTTATGGAAAAACTGGAATTCGAGACGTTCACCTGGAACTGAAAAACTTGACCATGTGTGGCCGTAAGGGCAATTTGCACTTTATACGCTTCCCAACATGTGCCATGCACAGGTTCATTCAGATGGGAAGTGAAAAGAACTTTTCTAGTTTGCACACTACCCTCTGTGCCACCGGAGGGGGAGCTTACAAGTTCGAAGAGGACTTCAGAACGGTATGTAGGGGAAAGGGCAGCAATGCACAAGTCACTTGCTGAGCAGAGTTTCAAAATCCATTACCATTATCACAAAAAGTTAATGTTTTAAGTATTTTTTTAACATAAAAACACTGGAGAAGAAGGAAATTTAGAACAAGGGGATGTACAAGATAGCTAATGATTTCCCACTTTTTCAAAAGACCTGACATGGATACAGATTCCCAGACAAGGTTTGACTTTGCCTTAGATGTGGCATTTACAAAAAAAACAAACAAAAAAAAACATGTTCTTCCTTGTGTTTATAGAGCCGACTGTCTCTGGTATCAGCTGACTTTGAAGGTGCCTCGTTACTGTTTGCAAGGGCAAACTGCAGCTCTGTTATGTTTTGCTCATGCTCCGCTGTATTCTTTGTGTTTATCTGAATACATTGGCAAGTTTACTTGCTAAAAGAAAAATGATACATATAAACTCTTGTTCTTGCATTGGCAGTACAATGCAAGTTCCGTTCTAGAAACATTGAATACCGTCTCCTGTTGTGAAGGCAGTTCTTGCTGTTGGGAAGGAATTTTGGCAGTACTATGTAGATTGTTGCCCATGTGCTGTGATCAGCATTATATCTTTCTAAGATTTGAGTTCAGGCCTGATTGTCGCCTGATGTATACCAGATGGTCTGTCTACTGAGGACTATAATAATGGTTCCCATTTGAAAGCGGACAACAATACAACTTGGCTAAAGCCAAAACATGCATGGATTTAAAAAAAAAAAAAAAAAAAATTTTATTCTCAATCTAGCCTGGATTGTAACACCATTTTACTTTGTATAGTTATGTTTATTTGAATTTGTTTCTAAAATTGAAGATAATTTAAAGGAAGTGGTAATTGTTGATGGCTTACACCTTAGTATCCACAACAGGATCTTGTGTTTCATTCTTGCAGAATACATTGTCCAATGCATATCTGTGTCCATTCCAATAGACCTCCGTCTCTTGCACACATTACTCAATGGGTGCACATTTCCACCATGACTGCAGTGTCTGTGCAAAGAGTTCAGATTTTGCATTTACCTCACTATTCTTGCTATTAATTTGATGCTTGGAAAGTTACCAGAATTGACCAATGTCCAGTTTGGCCTTGGTTAAGGCTTTCTTGCGGTGGCACTAAAAAGGTTAATTTCACAGGCAACCATGACATAGTAAGATCTCACATCTGGGTTCCCTAGCCGTGTAAATTTTTATGCTATAAAAATGCACTCTTTTTTAGGTCTGTGAAAATGCAACTCCATTTAGTAATTGGCACCGTGGCTTTTTATATAGCGTTTGTTTATTTTTTGACAGTGTAATTCCAGTTAGTAAAAAGCATTTTGGTGTTATTTTGTGTCCATAGGCAAACCTGAAAAAAAGTGTTGGGAATTACTAAATGGACCTTTTATGGAGCGTAGGGAGTGGCGTACACACAATCTGTGGGGTCCCGGTGCAAAACTGATCCATGGGGGCCCCCCACCACACTCTCACACACACTCTCACACTCACATTCACACACACACATGTTTTGTTCTGGTGGGTGTCAGTCAGGGAAGATCTCGGTGGCAGTACCTGGATATACTAGGGGGCCTGAGTGTGTCTAATATTTGCCTCTGCTTCCACACCGCCCCAATCAGCGCTTTGTAATATGTTGCCGCTTTATATTTATGTCAGTAATTCTAATAATTGCTTAAATAGCTTATTTGCAACCCACAATATTGATGATAAAGGAAATGTGAAACTCAATACACGGGTGCAGTTGTTTTTAGAATAATCTAATACTTATCCATGTTTAATAAACACCTGTGTGGTTTGTTGTTGTTAAAAGTCTTTTACATTGCATCATTTCTCAGCTGCCATGAGCATGTTTTTTTTAAATTTTATTTTTTACATTTTAATGTATTAATAAAGAGGGAAGGTAATGTCTTTCCGAGCAGGCCCTTTTTTTTTTGTATGTTCTTTAGAATAATCCTGTGGTTTTTATTTAAAAGAGCTGAGCAGCCTGTCCAACTAGTTAGTTGCCTGGCAACAAAGTGAGCCTGAACAGAGAAAGAGACACTAGCTAGCTGCATTGATGGTATTTTTCCCAAGCAGAGTCACAAAGAAAAGATTTGGAGCAATACATCATCCGACTTGGAGAAACACCAGAGAAAGCTATCCTGCCCTCCAGCAGTATGTGACGGTCTACAGCAGGCTTGTATCTAAAATAACACAAAAAAAAAACCCCATTAATTAAATGGTCAGTCTAGGTTAAAATATAGCCCCATAGGTTTTAATGCATTAAAATGGCTAATTTAATAAAAGGAAAAAATGAGAACTTATGTAGCTGCAGGCAGATCCTTGCCATACCAGGATGAGTTGCTCTATTCGGGATCATCTTGTTGTGTTCTGATCTGTGACTGGTTTTGCCTCATAGTTTCCTACCCAGCCAGTGAATATGGGATATGTATTTTATCTTCAAAGAGCAGTTCTAGACATCAAATAGGATGATTGGAACTGTTCAATAAACTGAAAACAGCCATATTATTATTATTATTATTATTATTATTTATTTTATATTTTTTTTACTGTACATAGGTATGTTGGTATTGGGAAAGCCATGAGCCGCCCCCCCCCCACCCCCCAGTTTTTTCATTTTTATTTTATGTTGCTATAATTCACTGTGACATGACCATTCACTTTGCAATGATGTATAGTGCTTATAGTTCTTAAACTAAACCTTATTAGTTGATACTCAAGTTCAAAGTGGGCTATTGATTTTTTTTCTTAACGGCAATTTTTCTAGCTTGGTTTATTATTTTTTATGCCTAAAATGTGTAAATTTTCCACTATTCTCAGTTTAGTGAATGAACCCCGTGTGAAATTTTAAGAATTAAACGAACAAGCTACAAAAAAAGCATTGCTGCTTTGTTATATGCAGTGGAGAATTGCTTAATATTTGGATTGACTGTATCTTTTGTAATAGTAGATGCTCAGGCTAAAACATTCAAACCCCATCCCCATTTATTGGTTAAGAGTTTACAGTAAGGAGATCGGGGTTGCCCAAGTCATTTCCTTATTTTTTGATTTAACCTAGTATGTTTAATGATTTTCTGTGGAAATTGTACAACTTACGAACCTTGACAATTTTTTTTTTTTTTTTTTTTTTCTCATTCCGAAACCTAGAATCCTACCAGTTAATCTAGCTTTTATTATAGTATGGGTAGCAGAATACACATGTGCTCCTCCACTGCTTGCTGATATTTGTTAGGACACGGTAAGATTATTGTAAAAATAATAAAATACACCTTTTAAGTTGTATGTTTATTATTTAAAGTTGTATCCATAATACTGCACATTTTATAATCCGATATGATCTAATCTTAATTTAATGTCAGTTTCTTTTGTGGAGAATGTACTCTGCAACAAATAACATAAGTAGGATTATGCTCTTGGACTTTTTATTTTTAAATTTTCTGTAACTTCGTATTGCATTACATTAGGTAGTGCATTATAATGGAGAAAGGGGTAGTCTATAAGATATCTTTAAAAAAGTTAGGAGCCAGTTTTTTTTTTGTGTATTTTTTGTTGTTTTGTTTTTATCCTTTCACAACAAAAATAACTGATCTTAAAGGGATCCAGCTTATTGCACTTGTTCTGGTGAGTATAATCCGTCCCTGCAGGCTTTTCAATGTAAACACTTCCTTTTCAGAGAAAAAGCAGTGTTTACATTGCCGCCTAGGAACCTCTCTAGTGGCAATCACTCAGTCACTAGATGTGCTTTCTAGTACAGTGCTGCATAATGTGTAGCACCTACGTTCAGCAACACGCTCTGCATGCAGACACTGAACTTTCACCATAGAGATGTGTTGACTCAATGCATCTCTACGAGGAGATGCTGATTGTTTTAGAGACGTGTTTTGCCCCATGTGCAATAGCTTCTCAATGTTTTCCTATGGGAATGCATTGCATTGGCTGAGATCAAGATTGATTTATCTCAGCCAATCAGGTGGTGCCAGCCACAGCAAGACTTGTGCGGTCTAGGGAAAAAGAGTAAAAACCTCTTTCTCATGCAATCAGAGGTGGACCGGTCAACTAATTAGTTTAACACTATAGTGTTAGGAGTACTAAAGTGTTTGTTTTATTTATTTATTTAATTTACACTTACAGAATAAAACCAAATGTCATGGGCATTTTAATGCATATGCAGGTAATGAAGAATATATTATGATGTGATACACATCAGATGTTTAAAGGGATTCTCCAGTGCCAGGAAAACATATCATATGCAGGACCCTGTAGTGCCCCTCTCCCTCCCACCCCCCCATCCCAAGTTGCTGAAGGGGTTAAAACCTCTTCAGTGACTTACCAGAGTCCTACGTCAATGTCCCTAGGCGCTGGGTCAGGCTACGCCTACTCTCCTCCCCCGGCGTTAGCCGGCGGGGGAGACCTAATGCGCATGCGCGGCAATGGCCGCGCACGCGCACTTGACCTCCCCATAGGAAAGCATTATTCATGCTTTCCTATGGGGATTTCGAGGACATTGGAGGTCTTCACTTAGCTTGAGGACGTCCAGCATCGCTGAAAACGTTTTTGTTTTGTTTTGTTTTTCTATGAACACGGAAGTCCCTCTAGTGGCTGCCACTAGAAGAGGAGTTAACCCTGCAAGGTAAATATTGCAGTTTATGAAAACTGCAATAATTACACTTGCAGGGTTGAGGGTAGTGGGAGTTGGCACCCAGACCATTTCAATGGGCAGAAGTGGTCTGGGTGCCTAGAGTATCCCTTTAACTTGGCCTTTTGTGGCCATGAACATTGTATCATTTAGTTTTTTGTTTTATAATTTTTTTTTGTACCATTACTTACAAACACACACACTGACATACACAATCTTAAATTATTAATTTACAGCCTCCTTACTTTTCACAGAGCAGAAGTGGATCCTTTCCCTCTGGTCCAGTGTGGCTGCTGTGAACCTGTAAGCTCTTCTTGCTTTGCTCCATCATGTGCCGTTTAGTGATGCCAGGGCCGGAGTGATGTCATATTCCAGCTCCCTGCATCACCACAGCGGGTGCGTGAGGGAACAAAGCAAGAAGAGCAGATTACAGCTCACTGCCTGCCTCGGGCTGCCCCAAGGTGACCAGCCAGCCACCACTTGGACTCCTCCCCATGACAGGCGTAAAACAAAGGGCCCGGTCGCACTTGACACCAGGACAAAATTCCTAGTAGCCATGGCGACCTGGCGCCTGGGATTTGTTGAGCCCTGATATAATGTAAAACCACAATTCAATATCCTTGGGACACCCATTACATTGACAACATATCTGGAGATAATACCTTGACCCACAAGATTGCACAATAGCATCGCGTCTTATGAATTCAGGATCCGACTTCTACTACTCTTCTTATGATCCCATCTATAAGAAGATTTATTCTTATGAATAGAACCCAGTGTGTCTTGATGTCTAAATTCCGATTCTTGTTTAGGAGTGCCGTTTTGTAGGACAAGACATTATTATCCCCAGATTATATTGCACAATGTGTTTTTGTTCTTATGTATGTTTTAGGTGGATGTGTACACTACTGGATTTCAAGTGCATTATAAATGTAGAAACTGTAAAAATAAAAAATCACTTGGTCCCGTGTTCCAATCCCAGCAGAATGAACTCCATTTTCCAACCTCTGTTTGTCAACAAAACTACCGTTGAGTTGGCGGCATTCCAATGCGTGCTCAAAAAGGAAAACCGTCTATCATTTGTTCATTCTTGGTAAAAAGGGGACTGCAAAGAAAGTAGGGAGCTAGACATTTTGGTGAAATGCATGAATGTATTACACCACTTACAAATGTTGATCATTACTTTATTAATGCAAATTTTTCCACGAGTTGGAAAATGCATTTACCTTAGGGTAGCTAAAGTTTTATTGTATGGAAACGCCAGTGAAAGTTTAGCTTTAAAGTTTAGCTTCACCACCACCAGTGTGATCTCGAGGTGGGTAGTTTATGAATGAGCAGCTATATACAAGTGCGATTTTGTCTGGAATTCAAAATGAATTTCAAATTTTAGGCCACAGAATCTAAATTGGAAAGATTCTCGACATCCTCTATGTTTTCATTTCAGCTAACACCTAATATTTAAATTCACTTTGAGTGAATAACCCTATAGATTAGGTTACAAATAATTGATTATGCATGTGCTAGCAGATAAGATGTGCAATGTATTGTGAGTATTCTTTCCTGCTAAGTAAAACAGTTATTTTTCATGATCCTTTAATCATTGTTTTTCATTTAATGATTTTCTGTTTTGCTCATGTGTTTTCTGGGAAAAAGTAAAAACTTGTGTGAAGGGTGTCGGAAATGTAGCTCTTTGGTCTTAATTGTAATTATTATTATTGCCATTTGTATAGCTCCAATTTATTCTGCAGCGTTTTAAAATATTTTTAAGGGGGGGAATTTAACAACAAATGAGACAAATTATTACTAATTGTGACCAGAACAGGTTATTTTATTTTATGCGATTTAGCAAAAGACACATTAACAACTTTAAGCATTACTTTTTGTAATGTTTAGTTTTTCAGCCTATTTCTGAAGTTTAATACTATGCTATCATTTAGGAAAGTGGTGAGTTCTACTGTAGGTGTCCTTTTATGTTCATAAAGTACGCAGAAAACTGAGTTACTGCATTAACATACGACAACTCTGCCACAATATGGTTGCCGTAGCTTCAATGTGTTTTTTTAAAGCTGTAAAATAGCTATATTTATTCCATATGGAAACATTTACAGATATTCTTAAGTAAAAGTATCGTGCAAATGTATCGCCTCACAGACGGAACATATCTTGGGTTTCATAGTATTACAATTTGCGTGTTGTGACCTAAAATTTCCCATTCCTTTGTAGATTCTTCACCTGTTCCACTTTAGTGAATAAACATTTGTGTATTAAGTCAGTGCAACAATTATCTAGCTATCTATCTATCCATATTTTTTTATTATTTTTTTTTTTACTAATTCCTATCTCCTCTGAAAGCATGCTTCCCTGTTTTTGTTAAAGGACTTTTTTATTTATTTATTTTTTATTTTTTTTGCTTTTAAGATTAATTTTTTTTCACAAATATGCTTATTTTTCTGTTAATGTTCCACAACATATTTTACAGTCAAAAACTGACCAAAGTCTAATTAATTGAAACCTGAACTTTTGATCATGTACAGTTCAGGTTACATTGCAACATCTTACCGGTAATACATTTAAAAGCTCAAAGTGCTGGAAAATTGCTGTTTGCCCTTGTCTTTACAATAGCTGTATCCTCTGCTCTACTTAGACCTGCTATTCATTAACTTTTGTATCTCTCTTTCTCTCCCCTTTTTTTTCTGCAGATAGCGGACCTTCAGCTCCATAAACTGGACGAGCTAGACTGTTTAATCCAGGGTTTGCTGTATGTTGACTCCGTGGGGTTTAATGGCCGCCCAGAATGTTATTATTTTGAAAACCCAACTGTACCAGAACAGTGTCAGAAAAAGCCATATTGCCTTGATAACCCTTATCCGATGTTGCTGGTTAACATAGGATCAGGTGTCAGCATACTTGCCGTATATTCTAAAGACAACTATAAAAGAGTAACGGGAACAAGGTAAATAACATTTCTCATGCATGATTTTTTTTTTTTTTCCCCGATTACCCTAAATAATCTCAATGGAAAACCTTTATGCTTGTTTCTTTTAACAGTGTGCTATACCTTTAAATATTGCCAGACATCTTTATGATGTAGGCAATATACATACTGGTATTCGAATATAGATATGGGTCTTCAATGCTGAATGAAGATCTCTGTATCTAATGGAGAAACAGGTAGTGTAGTCTAGCATACACTTAGTTTGGTTATACTTAAAGGAACACTGCAGTGTTAGAAATACAAAGCTGTATTCCTAACATTTATGTGCTCCTCTCTTACCAATGTCCATCCTCCAACGTCGGCAATGAAGGCAAGCTAATTTTCAAGGTGTTGCATGTCCTCATCGGAGACAGCCACTACTGCAGTGTTCTACATTGATGGGTTAAGGGAACAGGGACACCGCACTAAGACCATAGTGTCCCTTTTAATATTACCTTTTCCTGCTGTGACAATTCAACGTCAATCGCTATGAACAAAATAACCTAATTCTATAGCCAAACCTATAGCCGGCTTAAAACGGCCTTCTCTGTACTACTAGATATTCATAAAAGTTACTTGCCTGGATACATGGCACCGAAGTTACCGCATTAAAGTGAACCTGTAACGACAAGTTCTTTTTAACTTTAGCTCCCTAGATACTGCTTTGGTATCTAGGCAAAGAAATAAATGTTGCAGTAGTTTAATTCTGTGCCAACATAATTTGTTAGTGCTCACACTATTTCAAAGGCTGTTTTTACTTTGTGCAGACCTCTTGTAATGGGGCACTGATTGTTTGGGGTTTCAGTTTAGTTCCTAGCTACAGCCTTCCAGCTGCTGTTGGATTGTACGAGATTAATAGTTGTTGCTGTCAAGTATCCAGAGAACTACAAATGGTCGCCCAGGGAGTAGTCAATTAGTTCTCATCCTTCTCATTAGTCATTCTGTGCAGACTGTCTTAGTGTCTTTTAAAAATACACTGAAGTGTTATTTAAAAAAAACAAAACCACAATTTAAAAAAAATCCTAATTTTCCCTCCCATATATTTAGTGGGTGAACTACCTTTTGGAATGCTCTGCGTGTTATCTTATAATGTTCTATAACAGGAATATCTAATATTTCTGTGTGTATTACACAGTGCTGCAATGAGTTAAAAAAAGAGCTTAACGTGCTCATCACAATGTAAATGGCATTCTTTGGGTAGTCTCTCGTCTATTAAAGTGCAAGTGTCTAAATTCACTTTTTTCTATACATTTGAAGTAAGCAGTGTGTTTAATAGGCATACTCTTCATCATGCTTTTGCATTTTATTTATTTTTATTTACATGATGTGATCTGTTAAACAGCTTATCAATTTTTTCTTTCTTTCTTTGGTATGGTATTTTTTGTGTGTGGTTTTCCTCTACCCAATTTGGTATTATTCTGTCTCCCCCACAACAGCTTTTAAACAACACACACACAAAAAAAACCTGCTCGTAATATCTCTTTAAATCCGTTATGGTTACTAATACCTGTGTCTGTTACCTGTTCTCAGTCTTGGTGGAGGCACATTCCTTGGCCTATGTTGCTTGCTGACTGGTTGTGAAACGTTTGAAGAAGCTCTGGAAATGGCAGCCAAAGGAGACAGCACCAATGTTGATAAACTGGTGAAAGACATCTATGGCGGGGACTATGAGCGATTTAGTCTTCAGGGCTCTGCCGTAGCTTCCAGGTGAGTGTGTCTCTTTGATTCTTGATCTGAACTCAAAATTCCTTATCTTTAAAGGAAAGGTAAAATTATTAATTATTTTATGTAAAGTAAATTAGTTATTGTATATCCATGTGTGTTTTTAAATCAGAATTTTCACTTCACTTTAATTCTTTCTTCTACAATAGAGGGATGTTAGGAGGGAACTTATCTTTCCAACTATTCTTTGTCCAGAGTGATATCACCCCATTATGATATAGCTGACTCCATATATACACGAGAGAGAAATCCAGGTGCCAGTCTTAAGATGGGCACTGTAAGACTATTTAATAGCAGTACAAGTTGAAGAAAAATAAAATGCATGTTATTTTTATTTTATTGCCGCATTCCACTGTAATGAAATATGCAATGTGTGAAGTTTTTGTATAGAATGTTTGTGTATATGTGAGTGTTAATGCATGGGTGGCAAGGCATACATAGGATGTCTGGCACCTTTCACTCCCACACACATAATCCCTTCAAAAATGCAAACACAACCCAGTTGAACCTCGTAGACACATACATACAGTTGAACCTCGTAGACACATACAGTTGCAAGAAAAAGTATGTGAACCCTTTGGAATGATATGGATTTCTGCACAAATTGGTCATAAAATGTGATCTGATCATCATCTAAGTCACAACAATAGACAATTACAGTCTGTTTAAACTAATAACACAAAGAATGAAATGTTGCCATGGTTTTTATTGAACACACCATGTAAACATTCACGGTGCAGGTGGGAAAAGTATGTGAACCCCTAGACTAATGACATCTCCAAGAGCTAATTGGAGTGAGATGTCAGCCAACTGGAGTCCAATCAGTGAGATGAGATTGGAGGTGTTGGTTACAGCTGCCCTATAAAAAACACACACCAGTTCTGGGTTTGCTTTTCACAAGAAGCATTGCCTGATGTGAATGATGCCTCGCACAAAAGAGCTCTCAGAAGACCTACGCTTAAGAATTGTTCACTTGCATAAAGCTGGAAAGGGTTATAAAAGTATCTCCAAAAGCCGTACTGTTCATCAGTCCACGGTAAGACAAATTGTCTATAAATGGAGAAAGTTCAGCCCTGCTGCTACTCTCCCAAGGAGTGGCCGCACTGTATACCACAGAGGAAGCTACTGCTGTCCAAACAAAACATTGCTGCACGTTTACAGTTTGCACAAGAGCACCTGGATGTTCCACAGCAGTACTGGCAAAATATTCTGTGGACAGATGAAACCAAAGTTGAGTTGTTTGGAAGAAACACACAACACTATGTGTGGCGAAAAAAAGGCACAGCACACCGACATAAAAAAAAACAAGAAAAAAAGTAAGCGCTAAATAACAGTGGAGCTGTAGCCTTTAAAGGGGATCCCTCAGAAAGCCCTCAAATACAATTAGGATAAAAAACAAACAGAGATAAATATAAATATGAAATAAGTCTTAGCTGATCTTTAGATCAAATAGTCCATAAAATGCTGGTTCAGGAACGTGCTTGTTCAGGGGTAATATCCTCGCTGTTCTTCCCCAGGGAAGTTCAATATAATGAAATGATAAAACAGATACAGGAACCAAATAGTGTAGTACATCCAATATGGTACAGGAGATAGAAAGAAGAAAGGTAATGCACTCACATGTGATAGAGCTATAGCTAGCTCTTAGTATGAAAGGCATACAGCAGTATGATCCCCGCTTATGGGATATGGTGCAGACTTCTTCTTCCAAGGGTATGTTCCACACTCAAATAAAATAGAAAGGAGAGACAACCAATAGTGCTCACTGGATAAAATAAATTAAATTAAATAAAAGGATACTCACAAGAGTGGAGCAGGCAAACTGCTACTTGACGACAGCGTTGGTGGTATGATCCCCACCTCAGGATTACTTAGAGTCCAAGAGAATAAAATGCCAGGTAAAAAATAAAAGAATAAAAATGTATGTATGTTTGTATGTATAGAGTGTATTTAAAAGATGATTGGTACAAATAAAAAGTGACCAAAAAATCTTTAATAGGATAAAATACACAAATTTGTGTATTTTATCCTATTAAAGATTTTTTGGTCACTTTTTATTTGTACCAATCATCTTTTAAATCATCTCTGTTTGTTTTTTACACCAACATCAAAACCTCATCCCAACTGTGAAGTATGGTGGTGGGGGCATCATGGTTTGGGGCTGCTTTGCTGCATGAGCGCCTGGACGGATTGCTATCATCGAAGGAAAAATGAATTCCCAAGTTTATCAAGACATTTTGCAGGAGAACTTAAGGCCATCTGTCTACCAGCTGAAGCTCAACAGAAGATGGGTGTTGCAACAGGACAATGACCCAAAGCATAGAAGTAAATCAACAACAAAATGGCTTAAACACAATAAAAAACGCCTTCTGAAGTGGCCCAGTCAGAGTCCTGACCTCAACCCGATTGAGATGCTGTGGCATGACTTCAAGAAAGCGATTCACACCAGACATCCCAAGAATATTGCTGAAACAGTTCTGTAAAGAGGAATGGTCAAGAATTACTCCTGACCGTTGTGCACGTCTGATCTGCAACTACAGGAAACGTTTGGTTGAAGTTATTGCTGCCAAAGGAGGTTCAACCAGTTATTAAATCCAAGGATTCACATACTTTTTCCACCTGCACTGTGAATGTTTACATGGTGTGTTCAATAAAAACATGGCAACAGACTGTGATTGTCTATTGTTGTGACTTAGATGATGATCAGATCACATTTTATGACCAATATGTGCAGAAATCCATATCATTCCAAAGGGTTCACATACTTTTTCTTGCAACTGTACATACAGTTGAACCTCGAAGACACGCACATACAGTTGAACCTCGAAGACACACAATTACAACATAAGAAACCATAAAATGGGGGGGGAGGGGGGAGGAATGACACTGGAAACCATATCATTGTTTACTATGACCTCTGGGTCTCTGGTCCTGCTAAAATGTCTGATGGAAAAATTAGACTGGGAGACTTCTTCCCATATGCTTGGCATCAGCTCTGAGACTGGTCTTCAAGTACATCTATCTCTCACTACCTTACAGCATTTTACAAACTAGAAGCAAAACTTCCTGCGTTGGCTGCCCCACTGTACTGTGTGTAATAGCTGTCAGCCAGAGCAGTTATATTGGTGACTGTCCGTCTCCCTGTATTAATTCCGGTCTCTAGCATTCCTCACCAGGATGTCCTTGGAAGGAGGGGGGATATCTGTGTGGTGTTTTCGGTGGTACCGCTTACCCTGGTACTCACCCTATGAATACATGCATCATATGTTCTGGAATCTGCAGGGAAATTAATTTAGAATGCATGCACAACCAAGCATTCCTATGAGCGGTTATATAGTGTAAATTTAAAAATTGCTCAGATAATAAGCACATACCATAGCTAACTTTAGGTTGAGTACGTTTCTCATATGTGACAATTCTACTTTAAAAGTAGAATCCAGCCACCATAACTACTTATGGTGTCAGGAGCTTTTTTTTGCATCATGTGTATCTGCAAAATAAACAGTGCAGCTATTTTATTATTGATTTATAACTTCGTATATTGCATTACATTTTTAAATGTAAACCTTTTTAAAAGCCGCACATCATAGTGAGCTTCCAGCTTCTTCCTTGCCTGTGTAGACCATTCTTTTGCTGAACATAATTCACCCAGGCGCCTTTTTGATTGAAATTATCTTGTGGAGGCTGAAAAAGTGCATTCTGTGATCTCTCTTAATAAATATAGCAATTTATTTTTGTTTGTAACAAGATTGTCTGTCTGCCAAGATCAGAAGTGTCACACAGACTATTGCCACTATCCCCAAGGGCTAGTGGGCTTCCTAAATTTGGAACAAATGCTATCATCACATTTTATATGCATCCAGTTTGTGAAATAAGACACCCACAAAAGAGAAATTGTGCACATATTGACTTAGTTTTAAAATCACTTTCTGTACCCTTGTCTTATTAAACTAAATCCCAATATGGAAGCCTTCAAATGTAATTAACCCATGGCATATCATCAGTTAAAGAACAGTTCTGACTTTATATATCATGATGTTTTTAAAGCACTTTTTATTTATCATTTTTGTGGTACATGTGTACGTGTTAAAGGACCTCTCTAGGCACCCAGACCACTTCAGCTTAATGAAGTGGTCTGGATGCCAGGTCCTTCTAGGGTTAACCCATTCTTTTATAAACATAGCAGTTTCAGAGAAACTGCAATGTTTATCAATGGGTTAAGCCTTCCCCCAAATCCTCTAGTGGCTGTCTCATTGACAGCCGCTAGATGCGCTTGCGTGGTTCTCACTGTGAAAATCACAGTGATAGCACGCCAGCGTCCATGGGAAAGCATTGTGAATGCTTTCCTATGCGACCGGCTGAATGCGCGCGCAGCTCTTGCCGCGCGTGCGCATTCAGCCGACGGGGAGGAACGGAGGAGGATCGGAGGAGGAGAGCTCCCCGCCCAGCGCTGGAAAAAGGTAAGTTTTTAACCCTTTCCTCCTTCCAGAGCCGGGCGGGAGGGGGTCTCTGAGGGTGGGGGCACCCTCAGGGCACTATAGTGCCAGGAAAACGAGTATGTTTTTTCCTGGCACTATAGTGGTCATTTTAATGTGTACCTTTGGTAAGCATGCTTGTTTTTGAGATTACAATTGTCAGTGTCAATCATTTTTAGATTAATTATATTTATGTAACTGTATTTTTCCCAGCTTTGGCCACATGATGAGTAAGGAGAAGAGAGATTCTATTAGTAAAGAGGACTTGGCCAGAGCTACCCTGGTCACCATTACAAATAACATTGGATCCATTGCACGCATGTGTGCAGTTAATGAGGTAAGCGCTCACGTTATTTCTACAGCATGCGTTATTTGTATGGTAATTCATTTGTAGCATATTTTATAAATGTTCTTGAAGTTACCATTTTGTTCCTTTTATAGAAACATGATCGTGTTAAGGATACACATTTTTATTCCTTATGCTAAAGTGTCCTGTAGCAATTTAGATGACCTCCCCCCCCCTCCCCCCCCTTAAGCTTATGAAAAGGTAGTTCACTTCACTGCGGTGCTTTCTCTGTGACTGGTCCTACCTCCATGGCTGAAATAATCAAAAACAATGCTGTCCCCAAAGCATGGAGACCCATCTGATAGAAATTGTTTAGTTTCACTCTGCTATTTCTACAGGGGGGCCTCTAGTGGCTGTCAGTGGTTGTGAATGTAAACCTTGCCTTTCCTGCACAACCACAGTGTTTGCAACTGTAGGTGTAATACTACTGGGATGTGGCACTACTGGGAGATTAAGTGTTATGGGTGCCTATAGTCTCCTTATTAAAAAAAAAAAAAAAAATTCCAAACTTAATTTGGAATTACGGAGGAGTCCAAAAGTTTTCGTGAACTTCATCACATGCCACTTTTTACACTTTACCTGTGTGACAAATAAAAACATTAGGTGCATACATAATTTTCCAGTGCACTTCATGTAATTTTTTGTTCAAAAACTGCAAGAGTACGGTAAGGTGTCCTGTTATATATATATATTTTTTTTAATGCAAAGGCCAACTGAATCTAAAGTCGATAGATCATTCAAAATAGCACAGCCACGATTTGCATTGTTTTAATTTTTTCGTTAAAACATGCTTGATTTTTGCTAGTAAAGCTAGTGTAAAAAAAAAAAGCTAGTATAAAGTGATCCTGATTGTGTTTTATTTATTTATTTATTGCAAATTAGGCATCAAATTCTCTCTCATTTAACCACTTATAGGGTTTCATGTTAAAATCAGATTTTAATTTTCTTGGATCTTAACCTGATGAAAATTTTTTAGCCAGTAGGACATGAACCTTTTTATAATACAACATGTAAAGGAAGTTTTGGCACTACACATAACTGGCGTATTAAAGGCTGGGTGGCAGAGTGGTCGTTCTGCCCTGATTGACAGCCAGGAGAGAGGTGCACATATCATCCTTCTCTTATGTCTGCACTGTTTAATTGTTTTGGATATTTATCTAAAAAAAATATGCAAAACTCTTGAACTTTGTTTTGAAATGGGCAACTGTTTTGTTTTTCCTTCTCCACTTATTTGTTAGCCAAATATGATTATATGCAAAATGTTGCACTGCTTTTGCACATACATAAAGACAATGCCGTATTGTTATTTTGAACAAGATATCTTTCTCATGGCTAGCGTGTGTCTTGTGTGATTCAGCTCTTTATTTTCCATTCCCTGTGAAGTCTTATCAAATGTAAAACTAGGATTAGTGCTATAAATTTATTGAATACATGAACTTTATTTAAACCATTTTGGGAAGACTTCCAAACATTTTTTTTTTTTTCTTCTTCCTTTTGTTAGGCTTGCAAATTCAAAGTTCTTTAAACTAGGAATTGCTGGTTCTGGAATTGCAAAATAAGCTACAAAATGTTAGTCGTTCTTTTCCTTAAAAGGGCATTTTGGCTTAAAGTTTGCAATTCATTGGGAACGACTTGTTTTTACGAAATAACCCTTACCCAGACTGTAAAGGAAACCCAAAAATATGTATACCAACACCCCCTTCCACACAACTAAATCAGGCCAGGGTTTTACTGTGGTTTCTTTGGGCACCACTGCTGCCTCCTGAGATAATGACGTAGTTTCACTTGTGTAATATATGTCCAAATATGCTTTGAAGAAATTGATACGTTGTAAGCCCTCTGGTTGGGCTAGCCTGACATTTTGTAGCCTGTAACTATGACGGATTAGAACAGGAAATTGTAGAAGTAAAACTTTTTTGTAAAGGGAGCAGCAAAATTGTTATGTCTGTGATTGACAACAAATGCTGAGTTCAGCAGTTCTCATTACTAGAAACCTATCCATGACCGGAAAACTTGGTTCAATTTTGATGGGTATTGCAAGCCTGAAGCTTTCATAGCAGCAGAGAGGACAGGCTTTGGGTGCTGGAAAATCTCAGCTGTACCCAAAGAACTGCTTGCACCATAACTACTACAAACAGCTGTACTGGTTGTAATCCTATGTGTGTCCCAATAATCACTGTGATTTATAAATATGTTGTATGTTGTTTGCGCCGGTGTGTAAAGACAATCCTTTACAGTGTATGATTTCTGGACATCTTGGGAACAAACGTTCCAACATCTGATGTCATGTGAGTAAAACGCGTTTACTGCTTTCAGCTTCTTTACAGTGTTGCCTTGTGGCATGGAGTTCAAGCAGCATTGTACAGGGCTATCAAAGCATTAAGCACTTCGTCTCGACTGATTAGGGTGACAGTTCTACTTTTGTTTTAATTTATTTTTTTATTCCTTATGTTCTCATCCTACCTCCGGCACTAATAAGCGCAATGTTAGGAGAACAAAATATATACAAAAATATTTTGCCTTTGCCAGCGATTGTTTGTTAGCTATGTGTGATAGTCATATGAAGAGTGCATATACAGAACTATTTATTGTGGAACAATAATAATAATAATAATAACAAAGTATTTAACCAGTAAAGGCACATTCAGATTACTCTGGTTTTCAAGTGTGTCCTAGGGATGTTACTTTAGCCCAACATCCAGGGGTTGTTACAATTACCCAATTTAATGGTACTCCTTTTATCTACGTCGGAAGAATGAAGGGCTGAGTCAACCCTGCCGGGATTCGAACCTGCTAACCAAGGGTTGAACAGATTCTACTGAATAATGCCATTGAATGGTTCTTGAGACATAAACAAAAATACTAAATGTTAAAGTGAAGTACTTTATCAGACCTATAAAAACACCCTGATACACAAACAATATCTTACATCTGATGGCAAGTATAAGAGAGTGAAGCATTGGGACCTGGTGTGACTGATGGATATTTCAGGATAGGGTCCAAGGGTATACAAAGTATACCAAGAAGAAAACTGGGAATTATTGCCTTATTCAAATTTAGTTTTTATGAAATTGTCTTCTGATTATTATTTTGTGTAATTACAAGTGTGTGTATAGAGCATACAAGAATGTAGACTGTAAGCTTCACATGAGTCCTTGGGATTTTCTACCAAATGGTTCCCGATTGGCTAGTGACTGTTTATTTGTTTTTTTGGGGTTTTTTTGTTTGTTTTTTTTAAGCAGATGTGTACTTGGACTCGACGTCTTCAGTTTATGTACTATGACTGTTGGAATACATAACTTCTTAGATGTGGTTTTTGTCTTGGGCATATTTTATATTGGTAACCTACTCGTTTTATGTTGGAAATCAACTCGATGTTTCTAGTTGTCACTCATTACCTTTTCCTGAAAAAATCAAAGAAAATATATTGTTTTTATTAAATTACAATATATAATTTTTTCAAGTGTCTGTTTTGTATGGATTACCATGTAATTCACTCATTATCTTGCAGAATATCGACCGCGTATTATTTGTGGGAAACTTTCTCCGAATAAACATGGTTTCCATGAAACTTCTGTCTTATGCAATGGATTACTGGTCAAAAGGACAACTAAAAGCACTTTTCCTGGAACATGAGGTAAGTGGACCAGCCATTAATAAGACCTAGAAAAGTGATTGCATGTGCCAATATATTCTGTTGAAAAAACTATGCTATTTATAAGATGTTCTAATATTTAAAGGGACAATATAGTCAGCAAAACAACTTTAGCTTAATTAAGCAGTTTCAATGTTTAGATCATGCCCCTGAAATCTCACTGTTAATTCCTTTTCAATTTAGGGGTTAATTCGCTTTGTCAATGCTGCTTTGGGGACACACCTTCCCCATCTTAGACTCACACAGCCTCCCTACACCCTTCTATTGAAGAGATCTAATTTGTAATCTTCCTTTATTGCACAGTCACTGCATGCTGTAGTAGTGATGGTCCATGAAGCATGCCACTAAATTGGAAATTGGTTAGGTCAGGGGTGGGCAATCTGCAGCACTCCACATGTTTTGGACTACATCTCCCATAATGCTCTTAGGTCCATAATGCTAGCAAAGCATCAAGGGAGATGTAGTCCAAAACATCTGGAAGGCCACAGATTACCCACCCCTGCGTTGGGTAGATCAGGCAAAAACAACTTGGTGACACTTTCTAAAAAAAATTTTTTATTTTTTTATTTTTTAATATCATCTTTGTAGAGATGTACATGTAAAAAAAAAAAACAACAAAAACAAGCAATTCCCATTCTAAACATGTCATGTGACTCTATTTTTCACTATCACGTGTTTCCCCACATCTGTATTTTAGGGTTACTTCGGTGCTGTTGGAGCACTGCTGGAGCTGCTTCGGATGAATGATGATCAGTAAAACCAGTTGCTGAGGATTGTTGAAGTCTGCTGGAATGCTATCAGAGAGAATCCTTATTGGGCTTTTGGGAGGTGCAGACAAAGCCATTACATATTTGTATAATAGGACTTGTAAATAATTCCAATTTCTCTGAGTGGATGCTGGGTATCAATGTATATTGTAAAAATGTGCAAAATGGCCAAATGTACCACAGTGATCATTTTTTTTTTTTTTTTTAACACTAATTTTAAACTGTGATTTTTATTTTTATTTGATTTTTTATTTTAATATAATTATAGTCTTCAACTGCACTTTTAGGTGTAGGCCTGCTGCTTTTTTAAATTTACAAATTGAGTATGCTATTATGGAAGGTGTGTTTTTTAATTTTTTTTTTTGTTTTACTCTCCTGTTTTGAAGATTCAGTCGCCATTTTGGTTATGTGATGGCCATGTTTCAGCGATGCTTACTTAAAAAAAGATTGCTGACAAGTCTCAAGAATGCTGCTCTGAAAAAAAAAGTTGGTAACAATTTTTTTTTTTTTCTTCAATCATCTTTGGGCATTTAAAAACAGAACACTAAACTCTATTAGAACTTTATAATGTTTCATTTTTTTTTTATTGTAAAGGAAGCATTCAAATTAACACCTTGTATGTCCATTGTTGTACTGCACTTATTAAAAATTGTAGTCTATTGATTACTGCCCTCATAACTTTGTTTGATCTCCTCACAAAAAAACTCATTTCCTCAATAAATTAATTCTTTATCAGTCACTATTGTTATAAGTTAACTCTCAATTGTCAGTTGCGTTTTCCCTAATTGCAATACCACATATTCATTACTAATTGTTTGTGGTTTATTAGTTTTATTTTATTTGCTCTTGAATGATTAACAACAAATCTATTTCAATCCAGTGCTGAACTACACATCATAAACTTCTGCTTGGGTTATACCCAGCTGCCATGGAAAATAATTGGATCATCCTAAGGATAGACACTTCCTGGTCTAGTCAGAGTTCACTGTGCGCTCCAATTATTTAACCCCTTAAGGACACATGACGGAAACATTCCGTCATGATTCCCTTTTATTTCTGAAGTTGTGTCCTTAAGGGGTTAAGTATGTGTTTTTAATTTATTTGTATCTAGATTTTATTGCAGTTTCATAAAGGTACAGTTGGACCTCTGTTTATGAATTTAATGCGTTCTCTGGGATGTTTCTTATTGCGGAAAATTTGTAAACCGAAACGCGGTTTCCCATAGGAATGCATTGAAAACCAATTAATCCATTCTGGAGGTCAGAAAAAAGTCAAAATGAGCTGGCATGGAAACCAACCCATAATGCAGAACACACAATAAAAGGCATGCAAACGACAAAGCTCAGCTCCCTACCTTTCCACAGCTTGAGAAATGCACCGAAAGGCACAAAAACAACTGCAAACAATTTCTAGAATGGCTCCAAAACTCAATGCAAAAGCAGCTCCAACACCTCCACACTCATCGCCACGTGCTACCCAAAGGCTCCAGCATGGAGTGGGCGGTGCTATAAACCTCCCAGGTGCAATGCATCCTGGGGAAACTTGCTTTGTATTGCGAAAAAAATTTGTAAACCGAGGCATTATTTTCAATGGATTTTCATTTGTAAACCGAAAATTATGTTAAGCGAGACGTTTGTAAACCGAGGTCCCATTGTATTCCAAAAGTAGCAAAGGCAGGTCAACTATTAATTCCCCCCACCTCCTCTTTCCTGAGATAATACTGCATACATGTTACAAACATCACAAATACTTAAACAAAAAATATGGGGTAGCACAAACTGACCTAGCCTGCACTCAATCCTCAAATATTCGGTCTGTAATAGTAAATAGAAAAAGAATACCCTCTAAACTTGTAGAGAATTCTATTAATAGCCATATCCACTTTGTTTCATGAAACCGACATTCAACAATACGAAGTGTTTATATTTCGAGTCTAACTGAAACATTTTATGGATTTATCTTTTCAACCATGAATTTGGAAGATTTCAAACTCCATTTATTTTCTCTTCCTGTGTGTGTGTGTTTTGGCCTAGAATTTATAATTATCTGCTTTAACCCCTTCCCGACCGAGGACGGTTCAGGACCGTCATCGGCATTTTTGCATTGCCGACCGATGACGGTCCTGAACCGTCCTAACGGTCAGAGCTACTTACCTGATCGCCGTCGTTCCCCCGGCGGCGATCAGCGTGGCTCCGGTTGTGGGGAGACTGTCTGCAGCCCAGACAGTCTCCCCACGGCAGATTAGGACCCCTGTGGCCATGTGATCGCTTAACACAGTGATCACATGGTCACAATAGGTGTCCATAGTGCTGCCTGCAGGGGGACTGCCTGTGCTGACAGGCAGTCTCCCTGCTAGTGTAAAATCAGAAAAAAAAATAAAGTTAATGTTAATAAAAAAAATAAAAATAATTATATGTGTATATATGATATATAGACATATATTATATCTATATAATATGTCTATATATCTAATGTCATACTAAGTGTATTTTTATATTAATATGTACTTATATTAATATAAAAATACACTTATAATTAAATTACACACGTGTATATATAATATATATAATAACTATATATTGTGTATATATATATATTATAAAATATAAATAAGTAATTTAAGTTAAATAAATTTTTTTTAAATAATAATAAAAAAATAAAAAAAAATTATATAGCTATATGAAATTTTATTCTAACTGTATTTTAAAATTAATATATATATATTTATATCAAAATACACTTAGAATGAATTTGTATATATATCTATATATAAATAAAAATAATAAGAAATATACATACGTCCATATACAAAATTACATAAATAATTATATAAATATACACGTAGACTTCAAATATATAAATATGCATATATATTTAAATTCTACGTGCGTATTTATGTAATATTTTTACATAATTCAGTAATTTTATTGATTGCAATTTGAAGGACCTGCCTGCCAACCCAGGCCGAAAGTCCAGAGAATTTAATTTGCTAGCACTGTATTTTACCCTGTAACGTTCTACGACACCCTAAAACCTGTACATGGGGGGTACTGTTTTACTCGGGAGACTTCGCTGAACACAAATATTAGTGATTCAAAACAGTAAAACATATCACAGCGATGATATTGTCAGTGAAAGTGACTTTTTTTGCATTTTTCACACACAAACAGCACTTTTACTGATGATATAATTGTTGTGATACGTTTTCCAGTTTTTAAACACTAATATTTGTGTTCAGCGATGTCTCCCGAGTAAAACAGTACCCCCCATGTACAGGTTTTATAGCATTTTTGAAAGTTACAAGGTCAAATATATGGGTCAAATATTTTTACATTGAAAATGGCCAGGTTGGTTACGTTGCCTTTGAGAGCGTATGGTAGCCCAGGAATGAGAATTACCCCCATGATGGCATACCATTTGCAAAAGAAGACAACCCAAGGTATTGCAAATGGGGTATGTCCAGTCTTTTTTAGTAACCACTTGGTCACAAACACTGGCCAAAATTAGCGTTCAATTTAGTTTTTTTACTTTTTTCACACACAAACAAATATGAATGCTTACTTTGGCCAGTGTTTTCGACTAAGTGGCTACTAAAAAAGACTGGACATACCCCATATTGAATACCCTGTGTTGTCTACTTTAAAAAAAATATGTACATGTGGGGTGTTGTTCAGAGATTTCTGACAGATAATAGTGTTACAATGTCACTATTGATAAATTTTAAAAATGTATGTTTTGAAACCGCAATATCCTACTTGTACCTATAGCCCTATAACATGCAAAAAAGCACGTAAACACTAGGTATTTTTAAACTCAGGACAAAAGTTTGAATCTATTTAGCAGTTTTTTTCATTCGCTTTTGTAGATGAGTAAAAGATTTTTCAAGTAAAAGTCAAAAAACATGTATTTTTTTTCAATTTTTCATCAGAATTTTGTATTTTTTTTTAAATTAAAATACATGAGATTATATAAATAATGGTATGTAAAGAAAGCCCCTTTTGTCCTGGAAAAAAACAATATATAATTTGTATGGGAACAGTAAATGAGAAAGCAGAAAATTACAGACAAACACCACAAAAGTGTAAAAATATGCCTGGTTGCAAATGTACAACATCGCAAAAACAGTCCAGTCCTTAAGGGGTTAATTATCCACAGTTCCAAGTTTAGTAAATAAGCCATCTGAGCGTGGTATCATTTTCAGCATACTTTCTATTTTCAGTTTACTAGAGCTGCCACTCTGCAATTCTATCTATGCAGATGTTTTCTAACAAGTTTACAAACCTATTTAAACATCAATATAGTTTCTGTTGCAATAGAGAGCTGCAGTATAAAAATGACCCATTCCTATATAGGTCTTTATAAAGCTTTAAAACTTTAGTTATAGAGCAGCCTTGAACACGCTGGCAGCTACAAGAATTCAATTTACATACATTGTGATTAAATTAAGTCATTCCTTTTAAATCTACTTTGAATGTAAATTCAGAGCTCTATGACTTGACCTTAGAAAACACTTTCACTCAATGTTTGTGTGTCTTCCAAGAAGAACTGATATCTCTTTGTAAGCACTGGAAACAAGCTTTGATCAGATAAAGTAATGTGATAACTAGCAAAGGTGTGTAATCTATATTTACATGGTCAGAGATCTGGATAGCACTTTGTTTGATCAAAGTATAGTAACATGTACTGTCACTCCAAAGTTCATATAACACGTGATCAGTTTATCAAACTACTAAGGAAATATTGAAAATAACATCTTGCATAGAATTGTCAGAAAAGTCTATTTGAAATAAAATAAATTAGTAAAACAGAATTTTATAAAGCTGTAGATCAGTTGTTCTTAGCACCTGTGGCAAGACCCAAATATAAGCCCAAGTATTGTGTTTGTGCATTTTTAATGGCTGGTACAGACACTGCCATCGGCATGGCAACTGCCAACAATTAAAATTTTCTTTCCGATAACGAACAATAATGAACAATAACGAATGGTAGTGTCATGGAAAACCACGAATGATGCACCAAGATAAATGACACAAAATGAGATAACACATATAAAATGGGTAGATGCAACACGGGTTGACCCTCTTCCCTACCCCCCTCCCTTCCCCAGTTCTTTGGGGAACTGTATCCTGGCTCTACCTTGAAATTCAACCCCCCATACCAACCCAACCACCATTAGGAACGTACAGTAAATTTCTAAGTTAAGACCAGAAACCAGCACAAACAGCATCACCACTAGAGCTCATCTGGAATAAAGAGCTGAAAGAATTATAATATGTATGATGTAAGTTAAGAATCTTTCATCTCAAAACTGTGAACTGATAGCATGTACATATTGTAACGCTTACTCTAAACAATGTACCGTGTTGGAATGTAAATCTGTACACATTGTAAAACCATAAAAATTGCAAAAAAATACTTTCCTGCAGTGGCACTGCCTTCCTCAGTGCAATGGAGTTCATATCTGATATTTGGAAAAGTCCAATTAACCCCATCCCAACATTAGTGCATGCAATGCCTTCTATTAAAGGAGGTCTCTGACGACATTAGGGTAGCAAAGTATGCCCTAATAATCTGGCCCTCACTCCTGCCCAGATACTCTCCTTAGCTGCCAATTGTAATTGTGGTTCTGCCTGACAACCCAGGTAGTACTCCTGCAGCAAAGTCATGTGATCCCGATGACGGTGTGATAGTACACTCGATAAATTCGATTTCTTACCCCGGTGCAACTGTCAGCCCTCTAGTACACTCAACAAAAAGGAAATACACTCACTGGTT